ATTCAGATCCTATGCGTTTTAAGCAGAAATGAGGTGAACATTAACGTGTTGGTCTCTGAACAACTTGCGTCGTGCACAATTCTGTGTATGTGTGATGCAAGTAGAGGCAGGATTACTGAGTCGACTCGGAACGGTAGGGTGAGAATGACTCAGTCAAAGATGGCGGAAGGTGAGGGAGTTTAGTTGACCCGCGAACAGAAGAGGATTCTGCAGCTCGTAACTGTTGTGGAACGTTATAGTTTATATGCGAAGCGACGGAACGACGTCGTTTTCTTCCCGGTTGCATACATCCCTCTTCATCGGAGCTTTCAAGCCTGGAAAGATGAGCTTTTAGTTGACAGTGATATCCAGCTGTGTGCTTGCAGTCAATGTCCCCAGGGCCCGTTTCGTCAATTCACAGCAAAACACTCGCATCTCGCACGCCATTAAAAATGGAGGAAATGGAGCACTTGTGGCCGAGCATGGGTGATTTTACGATTACAATACTACAAAACCGAGGAAATGGAGTCATTAACTCATCAAGTCACGTTTCTTTACGATTTAATTGAAAAGGCCACTTATTCATTGAGCTGCGAAAATGCATTTTTTGCCATTAAAATGCTCATTAAGACTTCTGCTCAGCCAGTTTTTATACCATCTTTCTTTCTTAAAACTTTGTCGAATTTAATCGGTACAAAGATTAATAAAATAAAAATGATATGATTCAGATTTGTGCAGAAGAGGGATAATTAATTGAAACCACAATTTTTTTACCTAATTTTGTCTCGTTTTACTTTTTCGTCCGTCCCATTAAGTTTGTTACATATAATATTTATTAATATTTGGGTAGTTACAATTCATTCTCACTTTATGCACACTATATACAAACCTCAATAGTTGATAGAAGGGAACCGGTGAAGAAATGACCAAAATATTACCAACCTGAGAAGGTTCCAGCCGGTACCGCTCGACGGGCCGAGTCGGTCCTGCACAATGGCAGACCGGACGGGATCCCGGACCGAGATGACCCGTCCGAGTCCATCCCTAATTATCAGTACATGATTCTAGCATTTGAATTGGGAAAATGACTAATTTGCAAGTAGATGTCAACAAGCTATCTAGTAGAAGAATAAGTTAAGTTTGAATTGGGAAAATGACTGATTTGCAAGTGGTTAGTTATTTCTTTAATTAGGCAATCTTTTAAACTTGATTTTGTTATATTGAAGCTTGTGATTCGTAAGTTGTTAGTTATTTATTTAATCTTCCTCTCTTAAATATTACTCCCTCGGTCTCCCTATAATTGTCCCATTTTTTCATTTTTGGATGTCCCCCTATTATTGTCTCATACCAAATTTGGTAACATTTTTGTGGCTCTAATTCATTCTTACTTTATTGTCACTTTATCAACTCATTATCAACCACATAATTCTACATTTCTTAAAAACCACACTACTTCCTTCTGTACCAATATTAGGGGGGTGGAGGGAGTATATTTTTCTCTATTCAAATTTCATATTGATATTTGAGCATCATTAAGTGACCAATTAGTCATCGTTTTCATCTTGATTATTACTAGAATCGATCAATGAATACACTTGTTAGTCACTTAGTCCTTCCATAAGTAGTATACTAAGATTAATAATGGATGAGTCTCATTGTCAATAAGAGGGAGTAAGTATACTGGTTCAATCGAAAAACTGCTTGTGTTGAAGTTATCAATCTTAATTGATTTCATTAGATGATCAATCTTAGAGTATGAGGTATGTGCCTCATAAATACTTGCTCGGTTCAAGCGGTCAGAGCTTGGAATCAAGACCGGACTGACCTGGATCCATCCCTAGACAAAATTAGGGGCCAACTAGAATATTACTCAGTATGTTTGTAAGAAGGTGCAACATTGCACAATTAATTCACGTACTGTTATAGATACTAGTCACATTGATAAGGAATTAATAATTAATAAAGCAATGGTGGGCTAGACTAGGAATGGACCGGTTCCGGTCTACCTGGCCCGAGAACCGAACCAGCCCGCCACTATGAGGGACCAGCCCAGCCCACCACTGTGCGGGACCGGGACCGGGCCTAGGACCTGATCCATGGGTGTTTTGGGGGCGGGCTGGGGCTGCAAGTTTCTTTGGAACCGGCTCGACCAGTCCAAGATCGGTCCGAGCCAATTTGTTTTTTCAAAGTATTTGGGTGGTAGACAGGTTGGGCTGGGTGTTTTGGAGGGTGTGGGGGTGGGAGTAGGAATTAATTAGAAAAGCCAAAAAAATGCTACCCAACCCAGTCCCGGGCCAATTCCGAACGCTACCGGCCCGGAGCCCGGCCCGGCCCAGAACCGGTCCATGCCTAGGCTAGAGTGCTAGACCAAGTACAAAAGTAAGAGGGGATTTCGTGGTTTAATTTAATTTATTAATGATCATAAAGAATGCAAGTACAAATGGGAGTATATGATTGTTCTAGGGTCCAATTACTCCAATATTTCCTAGTGGCCTAAGCCAAGTACAAAAAGGCGATGGCCCAAGGTGTATGACTGGGTATATAGACCCATCAAATGTTGTCACAGATTATGACTCGAAAAATGTTGGGACAAAAATGTTCTGTTTGACCTAATTAATCATACTCGAGCCCGGCCCATGGTACACATTTTTCCTTGCCAAAATGCCAAATACGAGTACTACGTATAATCTTATCAGGAGTTAGCGTATACTTTAGCAAGTATCAAGCGATACACTTTTGGAAGGGATTTGGCATGGCGTTAGGCACAGAAGTTATAGGGCGGAAAATTCACTATCAATTTTGGCACGGACAAGGATCCCTTGCATATATTGTTCTAAGACTCTCAAGAACTAGAGGATAATATACATGCAGTGCATAGCATGCGCGCTACAATTGCACATGATAGAACGCTCTGATTAGAAATAGAAATAATAATCAAACTTCAATAGACAACCATTCAAGCCCAGATCATTCACGTCAGGATGTTTCATTCAATATGTACCGGCTACCGCACCTACTTCATTTCCCAAGGAAGACGGTTGTGAGAACAGATTCGGTCTGTAAAGACGCCTTCAGCAACTTCATTCCCTGCAACAAAAGCATGCATGTTTTGACATGATTTTTACAACATGATGTTTTTTAATTGGAATGATTTTGGGAAAATTTACAATGTCTTTCTCATGTATAGGGATTGTTTTGGGATAGAGTGAATATATTATCAGTATTACTATTTAATTTTAATACTAGTATAGAGTATGATTCATTTAAGTGTACTCGGATCTTGTTTGTTTAGGGCTAGTATAATCTTGTATAGTTGAGCATGAGAATGAAGATTTTCTTAAGGGAAAATTATGATTTTTACCCATTTTGATTTGCTCATAATTATTAGTCCAACCCTGTATTTTTAAAACTCAATTATATACCTCTTTGAGCTTTGATTTATGTTTAAATCTCCATTCCCTTAATCTTCAGTCATTTGCCTCTTAATCAGGAGAAGTATTGTCTTGCCTCCTATTAAAACTGAACTGTAAAACAAAAAAATAAAGCCCCTCCTTGGCACTCTCGCAAACCTTCCTCTGTTTCTTTACTTTTGCTTCAATGCTCATTGATTTCCAACATCAAATGAAAACTAGATAGGCCTTAAATCACAAAATAAACTTAAGAAAATTACATAGGGGCATAGGGCCAATTATATTACATAGTACTACCTCCGTCCCGCTATTATTGTCCCGTTTTACCTTATCGGTTCATCCCACTAAGATTGTTTCATACCAAATTTGGCAAAGTTTGTGTGGCTCTAAATCATTCTTACTTTATTCTTACTTTATCAATTCATTATCGACCACATAAACCACTTTTTATTGATTTGTGTGTCACTCCCTCTTGTCCCATTGTTAGCGGGACGGAGGGAGTAAAAAACAAGAGCTTAAACTTCCAAGCAGAACGTAGCCACGTATACAAACAGAACCTATTGAGATGCACCTTATAAACTTCTGCAAAATGCCTAATATTGAGGGAATAGAACAACGGTGCCACGCTAGCTACATTTGGGCCCCAGAAGACAAATTTTGTTTCTAGAGATGCAAAAGGGACTGAGATGGCCAAAATTATTTCCAGCTCCCTTAGCTTTAGGCATTTTCGAAACAATTTTTTTGGCAAAGGCATTTTCGAAACATCTGAAACAATTGAAAAATAACAGTGCAGCACTTTGCCTAAACAAAAGTGAAATCTTGCAACTTAGTCACTTAGAGAATTCCAGCGAAAAGGAGAAGGCTAAAGAGCCATAGAGGCAAAAGATGTCTACACCTTAAAGTTTCAGCCATATATTACAAAGAGCACGGAGATGGCAGAAATCAAAATCAATAACCATCCCTAGTTAAGGGTATTTTTCGTCAAAGTAATACCCAGAGGGGGATTACAACCATAATCAAAGCTAAGGGGTAAATAATTGCCTTCTAAAAGTATAGGTTGAACTGATAATTATGAAAGAATTAGGTGGGTAATCATAATTTTCCCTTTTCTTAATTCTCCAACTACCAAATTCTTAGAATGCACGTAGTTAATTAAATGACACTTCAATGTCTAGAACAGTTCAAGGCATTAGCTACTTATATTAGTTTCATACTCCCTTCATCCCAAATTGAGCTGCAAATTTGAATTTTTTGGGTCAAACAGATTCATTTTATTCACTTAATTAGAATATCAATTCTTAATTAGATTTTAATTTGGATTTTGCAATTTTGCGGAGAGCTTAATTTTTTCTAAATATGTAAATTTTAATTATTAAAATTAATTTAATTATCAATAAGGACCAAGGAGGAGGATTTAAGTTTACCATTTGTTGTTAGACAAAAAAAATGTTGACTTACCAACTTTGCAAAACAAATTGGTAACGAGGTAATATATAAATACTGAACTACATGTATACACATATATACTAATATAGTGCCTGAATACAGTACAAGTACATACCACATTAGCTTCCAAATGGACAACCTTGACCTCAAGAGATCCAAAGTCCTTAACGTTGTTTTCATTGAGTGTGGTTATGGCAGTAATGGTAGACTGAGGCATCACCTTCAAGTCATCCATCACCATATAACTCACAACCCCTCTCACAAACCCACCACCCTCATCCCCAAAATAAGACGTCACCGCCTTCTTTACCAGAGAGACGTAAGTCGCCACGGTGCTCATAGCTCGATTGCACCCAGGGCAAATAGTATTCCCATCACCCGAGTAATATATAGTATTGCGGTTCGAACAAACAACATTAGGGTGGATGGAATAAGCAGTGGATATAGTGCCGCTGACGACACTGCAGACGTAAAGCTTCTTGGTCTCCGTTGAATTAGCGCCACCATAGTCGGCCGGCATGAGGAGTGGAACATCAGGAGAGAGAAACGGCTGTTTAGGGTTCAAGAAGGAGTCCTTTTTCATGTCTGGCTGCAAGTAGGTGTCGCTGAGTTCAGCGATACTGCCGTAGACATTTTCGAGTGCCCCCACCATGGATTCCTGGGATATGAGTTTGATGACGGTTCCCAGCGGCAAGGACATGAGGTAGATTGTCGTTTTTTGTTGTTATTGGTCGTCAGTCCTCCCTAATTCCTTATCTGACCTTGGATTTGGTTTTAGAACGATGTACTTCGGCCAAAAGCTCAAAAACGCGATGTTGAGGCGTTGATTTTACTGTTCACGATTATTTGATTCCAGTTCATTTCTTAGTGTTTCTGAATCGAAACTCTCTGATTTACAATGTTAGTTTACAGCTCTAAACCTAAAAATGTTCTGGTTCGCGATTGTTGCTGTTAGCGTATGTATTCTGTTAAAGCTTAGTTTTCAGACTTGCCGATTCTGAAATTGAGGTTCTGTAACTTGTTTGATTTCATACCCTGTTTCTGAGCGAGGAAGGTTGGTCAGTGGAACTGCAGATTTCTGGACAGATTTCGGGTACTATTCACCTGCGCCGTTTCTTCTGCTTTAGCTTCAGGGGCGACGAATTTCAGGGGTGACCTGCAGAGATGGTTAAAATCAAACAGAACAAGGGGGAGTATTCAGCCAGAATAACCAGGTCCAGAGCAGGTTTTGAGCTGCTGGATGGGCTTGAGGATGAATTTCCTACGCTAAGCTCTACTAAGAATGAAAAATCTGCTACTAAGGCTGGAAACAATGCTAAAACTGCTCTTGCTACTGGGCAGTCTGCAAAATCCCTGGGCGTTAATAAGAATGTGGCGCTGGGCAGTGCTGCTGCTACTGGGAAGGTTACTGAACCTGCCGGGAAGACTCCTGATGCAAAGACACCTGCTGCTAAAACTCTGGCAGTGAAAGAGAGTACTTTGGCAGAAACTCTAAAGCACAAAGCGCAGGTGGATCCTAATGCTGGGCAGATTGCAAAAACGGCAACAACTCCTTGGAATGCTCTTTTTAAGGACAATCGGGATCCAAAGCACGACATCAAATTGAGATACGTCCCTCCCAAAGGTGATACTTTGGACTTTGGTGACCGGACACTACCCTCGATGGTTGAGATGTGGAGCCATTGTCTAGTGGGACTCTTCACGGGAAAGTTCCCCGGACTCAAAGCGGTTCACGCTATGAAAGCTACATGGGGAGTTAAATGCCTAGTAAGGTCTCATAATAAAGATTGGTTGATTTTTAAGTTCCAAAATGAGGAGGATAGAGCCAAGGTACTACATGAAGGACCTTATACGGTGTTTGGGAAACTCCTAATGCTTAAAGAACTTTCGGAGGACTTCACTTTTGAGGATGAGGAATTTCTAAAAATACCAATTTGGATAAAGTTCCCTAACCTACCAATGAGTTTATGGAATGACGAGGCTATGAGTGAGGTGGCATCTATGGTCGGGATTCCAATAACCACGGACAAAATCACTCAAGAGAGGGCAAACAATGATTATGCTAGAGTATTGATAGAGGTTGATGTTTCCAAGCCGCCACCACTACACTTTCCTATACGGTTACCTTCCCGAAAGGTAATTAAACAAAGTGTGGTTTATGAAACGTTTCCTAATTTTTGCTTTCATTGCAAAGAATTTGGGCATCACCCATTTATTTGTAAGAAGCTAGCCAAGAGGGAAGATGTAGCAAGAAAGAATGATTGTAGCTTGGAAAAGAATGGAAAAATAGGGATTGAGCTTACTGGCCCGGCAGAAACTGCCCAAGGGTCAAACCCGACAGGGTATGCCCTTGGCCCGTCCGGGCCATGTGCCCAGCCTGGAACAACTGCTGCCTGTGTCCCTTACTCGCCCGGGTACGGACCAGACCCGACCGGGTCTTCACAAAAAATTGCCCAGGGGATTGCCATGGTTGAGAAACATGCTCAGGGGCCTTCCAAGCTTCCTGTCGCGATTGTTGTTGTACCTCCGCCTGCTGCCCAGCCTACAAAACAGGTTGTTGAGAGATTGGAACCAAGTAACATCGAGGTGGAGAACCCCGACCGTGCGGATTCCGAAGAGGAGGACTCTTCAAGTGAGAAATCGAGTGACACTATGGACTCGGAGATGTTTCACGAGGTTGAGATAACGTGTAGAGATGGAACAAAGAAAACTATTATAACAATGAAGCCACAAAAAGACTACGAAGATTTTTGAATTTTTGTTTTATGCTTGTGATGGACTGTTTTGAACTAAACCGGGGCCTGTCCCGTGCTAGTTTATATTTCTTTTCTGAGGTAGGGGAAGGTTTGGATACTATTTATAGCTAGTATAGACTAGCTTAGATAGTTTTGATGCATTGTACTATGTTATTTTTCTGGGTATATATATTTACATTTTATCCCAAAAAAGGACATGAGGTAGAACAAGAAATCCACAAACAGTTTTTCTGCTTCCGCAAAAACGACTCTTTGGGCCTTCGTGTCGATGAGCAGCTTCAAACTCACGGCTTTTGGGGTGGCGGCAGCCATTATTGGGCGACCGGAGAGATCAGAGATAGTAAGCGCGGAGAGCGGCAAATAAATGAAGGGTTTTACAAGTCCTAATTTTATCGAATCGCTATATGTTATGCCATGGGCCGGGTTATGTACAAGGTACACAGAAGTGGAAATCACCGGAATGGACTATTTTTATATGGGCCCAATTGTTTTATTTTTTCATTTTTAACTTTCATGTTTTCAACTTTGTTTTTTTTTATTTTAAATATAGACCGTCTATTCGTCTCATCACCGTGTAGCCGTGTCGGTGAAACTGGGAGAGCCGGAGGGCCTGGAGAAGGGGATTTCGTGGCTGGGATTGGGCACAACCGACGGAACTATGTTAGGATTCCTCATCTCAGCTTCCTTAACCAGCTAGGCAATCAATCCGGTGGTCTCTAGGCTCGGAACAGAAAGCTAAGGCTTCAATGTGTTTATGATGCAGATCAGAGAGTGGATCTTCCTCCGGCGTCTAGGTGAGAGCTTTCCAGATGAACAAAGTACCCAAGGTGGACGAGGACTAAATTTGCAAAGCTAAGAAGGATCGCCGTTTTGACACTAGCGCGCACGAGGTATGATTTTGCAGCACGCCACTACGTTCACCCAGGTCGACAATTGGAACTTTTTACCAGGTCCCCGTTTCAGCGAAATTAGGGGGCCAATACCCGCGGAAGCGGAGCAACGTCAATGGACACCATGAATTGAGCAGATGACAAGAGATGGCGCGTGTCTGCGACGACCTCTGTTGGTCGAAGCGATTCTCATCCAGGTCGACATTTTTGCACTTTTGCCGCATTTAATTATTGGGTTTTTAGAACACAGGAGTTGTATAAGGTGCCTCCATTAATTGAGATTTTGATGGTACGAGTAATTAGTTGAGAGAACGATATTTTTTTTGTTTCTTGTTGTTCAGTTTTCAATTATTGATTTTTTATATTGTTGTTTTTTGTTTATTTATGTTTCCATTTGTTTTTGTCTTTGTTATAAATTGACTTTATATATACATAGTTATCCATGCTTTATATATAACGACTTCAATAAATATTACTCCCTCCGTCCCGAAATAAATGTCCCAGATTCCTTTTCGGTCCGTCCCGAAATAATTGTCCCGTTTCTATTTTAGGCAACCTAATACTCCAATACTCCCTAAAATACCCTCACCCACAAATACCCATCATTTCATCCTTATACGGAGTACCTCTCTCCTCTCTCCCACTTTACCCGTCGCTTCTCCTTTCCTCTCGTCTGACCCTTCATCTCTCATCTCACCTTCCTTAAGCCAACCGCTCATCTCACTCTGTGTAACCCTTGAGAAAAACCATCTGAATTCTCCCTCGAACCTTCAGGTGTGGCTGAATATGAAATCTGTCCAAACCCTAATCTTCATCTGTACGACACTTGTCAGGTTTTTGAGGCTTCATCTCCGACCTCCGTCACTGTCATATCCATGGACTCGTCTGAGCCAGAGGTTTGCTCCGTCGTTGCTGATACTTCAGATGATTTGTTCATGCAACCCTTTGCACCCAAACAATCTAATTCGTCCGTCAAAATCAACGAATCTAGGGTATTCGAAGGCTCAGATCTGACTAATTTCTCCATGCATGTTGAACCAGTGATGGCTGCGGAGTACTCTGATGTCTTGGACACGTATGACGGTGTTGAGGAGGAAGATGAAGGGGAGGAAGTCATCTCTGGGGTTTGGGCGGAATGGATACAAGGGTTTCGAACAGATGAAGAAGAGCTGGGTGAGGGGACGAAGGAAGGCGATGGCGTTGTAGCAACCTATGCTCATTACCCACCCTTGGTGCCTTCGCCTTACTATCAGTGGCCGCCTGAACAAAAAGCTTCATTTGATAGCTGGTTGAAGCTGTTTATGCCTAAGTGGGATCCTAAGCTTTGGGACAAGCAGTTTCCCTAGAGGAGTACTCTTTATAATCGTATGCTGTTTATTTTGTGGATTTAACATGCATTCTGAGTGCTTTCCTTTAGTTGTTATGTATGTTTTGGTAATGATGAATGACTAATTCTGTAAAGGGAGTTCAATTCAGTGTTGGTGTGTAAGCCACCCCCAATTCCACTGGGTTATGGCGGCTTACATTCCTACACTTAAGTGTGATTTGGTAATGATGAATGCCTTTAGTGTATTCTGGAATAGTGGAGTTTTATACAGTCTTGGGGTGCACAGCCTATACTTGTCATGCCTAAGTGGAATAGGAAATAAAATAAGCAATACACTTTAATATAGGCATACAAAAACTTGTGTTTGACTGATTACAACACATATTTCAGTCTTGCACACACAACACCCTATACCCCTGTCCAAAATGTGTACTGAAGCAAAAAAAAACAAATAAGTGACATATATAACATGAGGTAAGGTGCCTAACATTTACACAAAAAATAATGAACTGGACCCCTGTTCAGTGATGAAGGTGTGGATCCTCCTCCTCAACTTCACCAGTGAACAGGTTATTAGCAATGTCTCCTGTAGATGGTCCAATATGTGTTGTCCTTAGCTGGAGTTCTGCAATTGCATCATCATACATTACTTTGTCTAAAACCACTGACCTTGGTAGTTGTCCTTGTGCTGCTAGGTGATCTTTCCCAATGTGTGGCACCTTGTAGTTATTTCCCCCCTTCACCTTAAGTATTTCTTGCATGACTGTTTGGTAGGTGACCCATACTTTGTCCAATTTTTTTGCACTTAAGTCATCATAAGCTTGATGAACAGCTTCAATTAGTTGAGGTACTGTTTTAGGGGCTGCCTGATCCTTTAGAGACTGTATAGCCCTAAAAAACCCCAAGTCAAGAATGTTAAGTTCAGGGGAATTAGGAGGTTGATTGACTAACTCTATTATGAAGTTGTCTGATGTGGCTGCCAATCCAAACTCATCATCATTCCCATCAATGTGGGGTCTAGCATTATCTTGTTGTATGATGATGTGTTTGTTACCAAAATGTGGCCACTTCTGCTTAATAGCAGGGATAATCTGATGGATTAACATGTCTTTAACAACTGTTTTGGTAATACTGTTAAGTTGCTTAGTCTCCAATACCCCTGCATCCCTATTCTTTGACTTTCTTTGTGCTGGCTTACTTTCTGTGAAGGGGAAAATTCCAAATTTTCCATCCCAGAGTACCCCTCCCTCCTCTCCAAAAACTAGTCTGCCTACAGCACACATAAACATGATTTTTGTAATGAATCTTTTTGATTTGCAAAACCTGTATGGATCTTGTTCTTGGGCACCCAAATAAAACCTTTGTGATGTATTTGTCATGAAAAACCATTTTTCATCAATATGAATAACATTTGAGAATTCCTGAAACCTGGGATTGTTGGGAATAGAGTATGGTTGAAGCTGTTTTAGACAGAACTCCATCCTCTTCAGTTTATTCTGATCATTCAGTAGTGGCTTAATGGCATTTGTATGACTTCTAACCCTACCTTTCTGAACCAGTCTATGTGCTATGTTCTTGGACAACCCTAAGGCCATACCCAGAGACCTGATGGTTGTTCTTTTGTGTAAAGGGATGCCTAGAATTAAATCATCATCATAGTGTATGCTTTTCCTTCCCACTTTACCTGCCATCTGGCTTTGCACATCTATAGGCAGCTCCAACTGTATTTGCTTCTTTGCTATGTTCCCGAAAAATTTAAATAATTAAAAAATTAAACACATATTAGAGGCGCTTTTATAAATAAGCGCCGCACGTCGTATATTTTGCAGGCGCTTGTTTATTAAGCGCCTCAAATGACGTGACGCAATTTAACAAATTTCTACTAGTGTTGTTACATTGAACTCCACAGCAAGTTTGCTGATTAAGCTTCTCTGAACCTGAGTAGTTGTTGTAGCAATCCCTTTTTTTATTGTGAGCACAAGTTTTTGGACTGTCATGTCCCTTTCTGCTTTACTCAAATGTTTCTTCTCTTTCATGCCGCATCTGCATTTATTTCATCTGTTGATGGCTCATGTGCATTGAATAACACAATTTCTTGGTTATTTGTAGTATTATGTGCTGTAGCTTCCATGTGGAAAGGTCTTCCAAACGTGAGGGGAGAGGAAGGTAGAAGAGAAATAAAGGCCTGGTGCAGACATAAAGCCTACGTTGGACTGTTGTGGACTGTTATGTAGTGTAAAGGAGTAAAAAAAATTGGGGGGAAAGTTAAAATTTCCCTCCATTTTGTAGCTTAGTTGTTATTGGAGGATTTTTCTAATTTGTGTTCGGATGAACTACTGTAGCAACGAATGTATGTGTGGATTTGGGATTTGTAAAATAAATCAATCATTTCTTGCTTTTGCTTTAGACTGTACATACCTTTTTGCTTTATACGGATGTATTGTACATTAGTCGCAAGTCCAACGCCTTCCCAGAATTGAACTCAAGGGCATTATAGGAATTTCATTTACAAAATTCCACTTTTCTTAATAACCTTGAAAAGTCAAACGAGACGTTTATTTCGGGACGGAGGGAGTTATTTGATTCAAGTTTTTATACTATCCGCAATTGATTATAGCTTTACGTGATTGAAAGCTAATATGTGAAATGTGGCATGGAAAGTTTTTATACTATCTTTCATACATTTATAATTTTTAAAAAATGGAAAGCTAATACATTTATAACATTGAAAGTGACATGGAATATGTGAAATAGCGATGAATTTATCAAATCATAATTTTTAAAAAATGAATGTCGTAACTCTTTGAGTTACGAAAAGCCAAAGGCATTTAATTTAACACTAGAAATTAAATATCGTGGATATATATAGAGTAATGACTTCCAAAAACGGGAACATCGCAGCGACTCATAAAGAGAGAAATCCCACCCCGGCCACTAGATCTGATCCCTATAAGTAATATTGTTTCCTAAGCTAATTTC